GCATCCCCACCGCGTCCGTATCCTCCAGCCCCCGGCCCCCGGTACCGCAGCCCTGCCCTGGCCGCCAACCTCCCGCTCCGGGACCCCCTCGCTACTGTGCCCTGGTCCCCAGCAGGTGTGGAGGTCCCTGCCCCAGGACAGCCCCCCTGCCCCTGGGCCCCCACACCTGTGTCGGACCTTCCCGAGGGCTCCCATGGCTGCAGGGAAGCGCCTGCCCGGGACAGCCCCGGCACGGCCGGGACCCACAGCCCAGAGCCCTGCAGCGCCCGCCTGGGGACTCCCCTCCCCAGACACAGCAGGACAATCCCCGTGCCACCCCTCGAGTGTGCCCTTGAGACTCTGGAGCCCTCCCCAGGACCCCCCCGTCAAGTCTAGGCCAAATCAATTCCTGGCCAACACCCCAACACCAGCAGCACATGGAGGATCCCTCCAGGGCAGAATTGTTAGGTAGCCCCAGGGACACGGGGGTCCCACTGTGGGGCAGGAAGGATGCCAGTGTGGGTGCCAGCCTTGTCTGAACCAGAGAGCTGCCAGAGAGCTGCCTGCACCCAGCAGCAGCTCAGATGCAGGGCCTGACCCCAGCTGCAGAACCAGCAATGGCACCACACGGCCCTGGCTCGGTGGGGCAGCGTGTGGGAGGGAGGGTGTTCTCAAGGCAGGCAGCGTGCTGGTATCTTGCAAGGCAAGCTGTGTCAGGGACACCCTTCAGGTCCCCTGAGTGCCTGGTGTGTGCTTGGAGAGGTGGGAAGGTTGTTACACGGGAGATGTGTCTCTGTTTCTGGGATGTTCCTGCCTCCAGCCGTGACCTTGTGCTACAGCAGAGCAGGAGTGCTTTGGGGTGTGTGGGCTCGCTGGCAGAGCCCAGCCCCCCACGCTCAGCCCCCTCCCTCTGTCTGTCCCACCCGGATCCCAGTGGTGGGAACACGAGGCTGGCCGGGCTGTCCCCACCTCCGTGGCCAGGGGGTCCCTGCTGTGCCCGGCTCACGCTGCCCCCAGCTCCAGCCCCCCCTTTGCCCAGGAGGGCTGGTGTGGGCGCGGGGGATGAACACACGCTGTCTTGGCTGAGCACCCACTGCCTGCCAGATGCCTCAGTCCAGCCTGGGCACACGCTGGGACACGTGGGACAAGGCCAAGGGTGTCTGACACTGGTCAGTTTTCCCCGGTTCAGGCAGACCAGGAATTTTGAGGTAACTTAAAAGGCTCTCAGTGCTCAGCCCTCAGCAGCCAGGCCAGCTCACAAGGAGGTGCCCACTTTAGCAACAGAGACACTGTCCACTCACCTGCCCCACGCCAGCCAAAAGCACAAAACCCCCCAAACCCCACACACAAGAGTTTTCCCCGTTTCCAGGCTGGAAGCATTACCAGGGCTATCGTGCTTATCAGCAGGAGAGCTGAGAACAAAACTGCCTGAGACTTTGGAGGCCATACCTCCCCCAGCAGCAGCTCCCACACAGAAGCAGTCCCTGCGCCTGCAGCTGCTCTGGGCTGTTCCTTCCAAGCTGAACAGCTGCTTTGGGAAACCACAAACCCCATGAGCTCACGGGGACTGGCCTGACTGGCGGCGACGGGAGGTCTGTGTGTGACCACTCAGCTCTGGTATGACAGTTACATACTTTCGAGCTGTTTTTGGAAAACAGCCTCTCCAAAAAAAACCTCTGGCAGGGCAGAGGGTGAAGGCAGCAGTGTCCAGGCTGACTGGAGATGGGGTGGGAGCTGTGCACGGGAGCAGCCGTGCCTGGCTGGGTGCTCAGCCAGCGACAGCACAGCCTGTGGCACTGCCAGCTGCACCCACGGCTCTGTGTGAGCAGCGAGAGCAGCGTGCCGCTTGTGCCGTTTATGCAACTTCCACTTATCCAAATTAAAAGCATTCCCCAGGAGTCTGGCAGGTCACCAAGCCCTCGGCTGAGCAATGCCTGGGCTTCGACTCATCATATTTTTAATTTCAGCTTCCCCGGCTTCGTGATGAAATACTTAAGAGCAACTGTTTAAGCAAGCAAGAATTCCAGTCCTGTATCCGTAAGCCCCAGCAACCATCGAGAGGAATGGAGAGACAAAGGCTCACAGCATTTCCCACACCAGTTATTATCCCATTTTCTGTCCCAAGCACGGAGCAGCAGGAGCTGCTCACGCTGTGAGTCACCTCTGCAGCCTGACCTCACCTGGCTGCTGCGCTGTAAACAGCAGACAGACCATAAAAGTGATGTGGGTCACAGGCAGCATCAGCCACAGCTCCTGTCCCACTGCCACTCCCTGTCCTACTGCCACTCCCTGTCCTGCCAACCCACGCCCACACCTCAGCTGGGGCTGCACAGACACCCTGGGACACCACTGCCACAGAGACAGAAACTGCCTGAGCCAGAGCGGCCAGCGGGGCCGGGCCACGCGCTGGGGACATCTGCCCAGGTGTCCCCTCTCTACAGTGGCTGCGTCCTGGAGCAGCACAGCTGCTGGCTGCTGGCTGGCCTCACCCTGGAGCCTCCCAGAGGCAGAACAGCCCCTGGGCTGGGGGATGTGAAGTGACCTGGAATCACAGAATCACAGAATCATGGAATCACAGAATTACGGAATCATGGAATCACAGAATCACAGAATCACAGAATTACTGAATCACAGAATCCCAGAATCCCAGAGTCATGGAATCCCAGAATCACAGAATCACAGAATCACGGAATCACAGAATTACAGAATCACAGAATCACAGAATCACAGAATTACTGAATCACAGAATCCCAGAATCCCAGAGTCATGGAATCCCAGAATCACAGAATCACAGAATCACGGAATCACAGAATCACAGAATCACGGAATCACAGAATCACAGAATCACGGAATCACGGAATAACAGAATTACAGAATTACAGAATCACAGAATCATGGAGTCACAGAATCAAGAAATCAGGGAATCACAGAATCAAGGAATCACAGAATCACAGAATCACGGAATCACAGAATCACAGACTGCTGCGCTGTAAACAGCAGACAGACCATAAAAGTGATGTGGGTCACAGGCAGCATCAGCCACAGCTCCTGTCCCACTGCCACTCCCTGTCCTACTGCCACTCCCTGTCCTGCCAACCCACGCCCACACCTCAGCTGGGGCTGCACAGACACCCTGGGACACCACTGCCACAGAGAGAGAAACTGCCTGAGCCAGAGCGGCCAGCAGGGCCGGGCCACGCGCTGGGGACATCTGCCCAGGTGTCCCCTCTCTACAGTGGCTGCGTCCTGGAGCAGCACAGCTGCTGGCTGCTGGCTGGCCTCACCCTGGAGCCTCCCAGAGGCAGAACAGCCCCTGGGCTGGGGGATGTGAAGTGACCTGGAATCACAGAATCACAGAATCATGGAATCACAGAATTACGGAATCATGGAATCACAGAATTATGGAATCACAGAATCACAGAATTACTGAATCACAGAATCCCAGAATCCCAGAGTCACGGAATCCCAGAATCACAGAATCACAGAATCACAGAATCACGGAATCACAGAATCACAGAGTCACAGAATCACAGAATCCCAGAGTCATGGAATCCTAGAATCACAGAATCCCAGAATCCCAGAGTCATGGAATCACAGAATCCCAGAATCACAGAATCACAGAATCCCAGAATCACAGAATCACAGATCTCCTGCTCTGGAAGGGACCCACGAGAATCACTGGGGATGCCCAAGGCACCAGCCTGAATTTCACTACCACGTGCAAATGTCAGTTTTCCTGTCTCCACAAGTGCCAGCCCTGCCCTGGACAGCTTCATTAATTTCTTAATCCCAGCCTCCATCATTTTTTCTTTAATCCCAGTGTTCACAGAGCACACTTTGACAAAGGGCAGTGGTGGTGGTGGCTGCCCACTGTGTGAAGCCACAGGGTTTGCTGTGCAGCTTTCCCAGCCCCCTGGATGTGCCAGGGCGTTTGTGTGTGGGAGCCTGGGCTGTTTGTGGGGTGGGAGCAAGCTTCCTCACAGGCTCTCAGGCTCAAAATAACCCTGTCTGCTTTACACATGCCTGCCTGGCGGCTCAGCTCCTGTAAAAGGAGAAGAGAAAATTGTTTTGGAAAAGACGGAGAGCTCCGAGCCAGGCTCTTAAAGAGCCCAGGTGGGGAGAGCTGCCAGCGTGCTCCCCCAGCTCTCCTCTCTAGGACCCAGAGCAGCCACCACTCCCAGGGTGCTCGCTGGGACACGCCGAGCACTCTGCTGCCTTCCCAAATATAGCCCTGCACACAGATGTGGAGGCAGCAGCTGGGGTGGGCATGGCCAGGCTGATCCTGGATCCCTCAGCCTGGGAGCTCCTCAGGGGCACAGCCTGGGCATGAAACACCCAGCTGGAGCCCAGGGTGGGCGTGTGGCTTGGCAAAACACCCCCTGTGCTGGGGGAAGTGGCAATCAGTGTCCCCCAGCTGGATGGGGACGTGGGAAGGGGACACAGTTTTGTCCCCTCAGTGCAGCCATGCTGCCCTCCTGGCAGGGCTGGGAGGTTCCCAGGAATCTGTGAGCTGGGAATTTTTGACTTACTTTGGAAATAGCTTTGCAAATGACTGGTTTCCACAGCCTAAACTGTTTGGATTTTGCCTTGCTTTCGCAGTAACTCAGCTGTGTTTTTCCCTGCCCCAGCAGTCTGTGGAATAGTTTCTGGCTGGGGAAATATTTATTCCATTTGCTCCATCATGCGACTGCTTTCACCACTCCAGTTCCTCATCCAGTCTCACTCTGACCCTGCTGGGAGAAAATCTGGTGTCTGTGCTGAGCACCTCATCCCTCTAAACCTGCCTGGAGGCTGTGCTGAGCCCACTGGATCTGGGCAGGGGCTCAGTGCTGCCAGAGCCAGGATGCTTGCAGGCACAGCACAGGCCACGTCAGCTGCCTCACGCTTCAATTCTTGAACAAGAAAGCAGAGTTACCTTTGGGTGCATTCATAGATCTTTGTGATAATTACACATTTTGAAGGCATGCCTCCTTGGCTACAGTCCCAGCACAGGCAGTGGGTGATGCTGTAACACTAAACCAGGCAGGAAGGGTTAAAATTACCTTTAATTAACTGACTCCCCTGGTCCCTGCTGTAAGAGTATACAGCCCTGGCACAGTGCTGACCCAGCCAGGCTGTGCCTGCGTGTGCCCTGGGCATCCTGGCAGGCAGGAGGAACAGATACTCTCCTCTCCCCCTCGCAGGAAAGCAGCAGGAGCACCAGAATGATCTCAACAAAACCAGTGAGCAGCCTGGGTGGGGCTTGGCCATCGCAGGGGCATCCCAGAGCTGTGGCACGGGGCAAGGACCAAGGAGGCAGCTTGTCCTGCAGCAGGGAGCAGAGCAAACGGAGCGCTCAGGTGCAAGCCTCTCCTAGAAATTTGTGTATGCTTTGGCTGGGAAGCTCCCTGCCAGGAACTGGGTGAAAAGCAAACAGCTCCCTGCATGCTTCCTGCCCCTGACAGAGTGATGGAGGAGCAAGGAACACTCTGGAAAAACCATCTCCCTTACCCAAAAGGGCTCGGGGAATGGTTGCCCACAATGTTTGCATGGCAGTGGGGTGCAAACCACCCACTCACCCCAGTGCCACGCCAGCGAACCTCCAGGTGCCCCAGTTCCTCACCTACAGGTCTCGGTGTCACAGGCTGTAATGTCCTGTGTTCCCAGCCTGACTGCCGGGCCTTTGCCTGTAATTAGCTCTGGGGATTTGGGAGCTGGTGTGATCCGGGGTTATCGTCAGCCAGCAGCGCTGTGCTGGGATTTAAAGGGACAATGTGGCTGTTTGCATTCCTACCAGCTCAGAGCGCTGTCATATGACACATGGAACAGAGAGATGAGTCTCTCCTCAAAGCCTGTGTGCCACCACAGGTCCCTTTTCGGGCAGAGTTGATGTGGTTCCAAGCAAAGCAGAACAGCTTGCTAATATTTCTGCCAGGACTTTCTGGTCTCTGCCATCACCTCGGCTCTGGTGTCACCTCAGCTCAAGGCTCTGCAGGCAGCCCCTATTGCTGTGCCCGCTGTGTTCCCTTGCAAACCCCTGTCCGAGCTCCCCAGCCGTCCCCCCAGCTCTGCTGCCAGCCCGGGGTGCCGCTGGGGTCCCCACGTGCCCGTACTCACGTTGGGGTCTAGTGCAGCCAAGGCAGGGCAGCCCGCGGCCGTCTGCGCCTCTCCGTGGTCCCTGTGCTGTCGCCTCATTCCCTCTCCTGCGGCTCTGCGGCGGGCAGAAATAGCCCCAAGGCACGTGCTGAGCGATGCCAGGGCCGGGCAGCCCCTGGCACTGCCCTCCCTCGGGGGCTCCTGCTGGCACTGACAGCACTAGAGGGTCCAGCCCGGCGCCCTGCCCGGGCACGGGCTGCTCACAGCTCTGGTGAGGAACATCTTCATTTATCTGCCAAGAAAATAAATTCTGCCTTGGAGTTTCTCACCTGGCAACAGTCACCAAGGAAACGAGCGTGGCTGCTGCGGGTCCCCGCTGGCACCGCCCGGGGATGCCCGCTGGCCCTGGCAGAGGCTGTGTGGCTGCACCCCGGCCGGTGGCTGCGTGGGCACAGGGCCAGCTGCCCACTCGTAACCCCAGCACAGGCCCAGAACTCACACCCATGTGGGCTTGGTCCTGGTGCCACTTCCCTGGAGCTGAGTGTGGGTTTCAGCAGCTTTGGGGTGGATTTTGAGGTTTTCCTGGCTGTTGGTCCCTGTGTGTGCATTGGGAGGTGTGAGCTGGAGCTGCCTCAGGCTCCTGGGGGGTTTTCCTGTCCTCAGCTCTGGTCTGACCAGGGATTTTGGACACTTGTTTTAAAAGCAGTGGCAGCCCAAGTGTTCAGAGATGTCTGGAAATCCATTGGTGCCAGAGGGAAATCAGATCCTGCTGCCCCTCAGGAAGCTGAGCTGCTGCCTCCAGGCTGCCTGACACATGGCTCTTCCCTATTTTTAGCACCTGTGGTCATGTTATGGCACACTCCTGTCCCTGCTGGGCTGTCCCCTGGCAGTGCCACCCCTCAACACAGAGGCAAGGGCTGACACTTGGAGCGAATCATTTCAGCCCTCAGACAGATAATTCTGCAAAAAACAATTCTGCAAAACCACAGCCCCAGCTGTGTGTGAGCCTGCCATGGTCACTGCTCCCCGCAGGCTGCTGGCACAGGCACAGGCAAACCAGGAAAGGCCACCAGAATGGGGACAGGGAGGTGCTGCCACCACCCTGCCATCAGCAGCACAGGGGTGACCAGTCACCCCAAATATGGCATCTGGCTGTGGTATCAGATCAGAAACTTCATCAACCATTAACCATGCATGGCTGCATGCCCATGGCATGGAGCTGGGCACCTCCCTCGCCCAGGACAGGTGCTGTGTTCCCAGCAGTGTGTGGGGCTGGGGACAAAGGTCTGGGGCTGGGGAGAAGGGTCTGGGGCTGGGGAGAAGGGCCTGGGGCTGGGGAGAAGGGCCTGGGGCTGGGGAGAAGGGTCTGGGGCCGTGCCCATCCTGGGCTTGCACCCCTGGGGCCAGGGCAGTGTCTCAGCACTCGTGGCTGGTGCTCAGCTGGTCGAGGTGGTGCTGCTGGTGCTGGGTGGTTTAGCACGGACTGATGTGAGGCAGCAGGCTCCCTGTTTGCTCCTGGGCATGGCTTTTGGAGGATCTTTGTCCCTCTGGACTCCACTTCCCCCACCCAGAGCTCCTGCAGCTCAGACATCCCTGTGTGACTTCACACACATCAGTGGCAGCAAGCCAGGGAGGGCAGCTCTGGCTGGGAAAATAAGCAGGAAACCTGAGAAGCAAGATAAGAGCTTCAGAGCTGAAGATCGAGGAGCTGGTGCTTTTTTCCTCCACTCTGTGCCCTGTGGTCTGAGGGTCTCCACCACTTCCCTGCTCCCAGGCAGGTTCCTGCTGGGGCTGGTTGCTGTTTCCGGGAGCACAGGACCTGCTGCCACCCAGTGCCCTTGCTAGGGCACAAAACACAAGCAGGGAGCAGTGATGTCTCCCAGCCTGGCTCAGGGGGACCCTGGCTGAGCAGCAGAGCTGTGCACACGTGGAGGGGATGCTCCTTGCAGGGGCTGCAGAGAAACACCTCAGGGATCAGGCAGGGGGAAGGCACAGATGCTGCTCCTTAGAGGAGCCCCTTACTCAGCCCACATGGCAGTGTCCCCAGCACAAGGCACGTCCAGCAGCGATGGGGACAGGAGGCTGCACTGGGGTGCAGGGTCAGTGCCGTGCCACCCAGCGTGGCAGCAGTCCCAGCACAGCCACTGGCCTGGCCCGACCCACCAGGATTAGGGAGCCTGCAGGAGTAAGTAATTGAAATCCAGATTAGGTTTAAGCAGCTGCTAGGCAGAGGGCATGTGAGCAGAGGCTGTGCAGGGGGTGAGCAGGTGAGAGGCTGCCTGGCACCCCTGATGTGAGGGGCAGTGAGAGCAGGGCCTGTGCCCATGGGGTGTTGCCCAGGACGGATTTCTCTCCAGGCTCGGCTTGTGCACAGCAGACAGAAGGCAGCGGTGCTGTGCTGTGGGACAGGGCACCTGGGATGAGATGGTCCCTGCCGTGAAGAGACAGCCCAGGGAGGAGGATGAGGCACAGGGACACTGTGCTGGGCTGCTCGCTTCATAGCTGCTGGAGAGAGGCCACCCCTCTGCACAGGGCTGCAGACCATGTTCCACCTCTTCTCCCACTGCTGGTCCTGGCTGCAGGCCATTCAGGAGCCCACCAGGTAGGTCCCTGTGCCCACTCCCGGGGCTCCCAGGGGTGGCAATATTTACCTGTGTGTTTATGTGTCACCAGTGTGGTGCAGGGAAAGGCAGGTGCCCGTGCAGGAGCTGTCCCCAGACTGCTGAGCAGGGCACACGGGTGTCCCCGCTGCCCTGCAGCAGGCAGGGGCTGGCAGCCAGGGACACAGGCTGTGCAGGGGTGCAGTGCAGGGATGGTTCCACGGGGACTTCAGCCCTGCAGAGTCAGCAGCTCCCCAGGAAAGCCAGGGAGGATGCACTGAAACGCCTGCCTTGTTTGCATGTGTCAGGACATGCAGGATAATTCCCTGGGAGAGCACTGCAAGGGGGTTTATGGTCCTCTCCCTCCAGAGAGGACACCTTACCTTACCTGCTGTCATTCTGGAGGTGGAGCCGTGCCACCTCCACTGCCATGCAGCCTGGTCTATGCGTTTAGGGAAGAAAATGGTATTGCAGATAACTGCAGTGGCTTGTCAGTGGCAGAGAAAATGTTGCCTGTGTGGCTCTGGTGGATCATGTTGCTGGAGAGCAGACAGGACTGTTCAGCAACAGGAAAAACACCCGAGTCCAGGCAGAAACTCCTGAAATCATCCTTGCAACTTTCCCTATCTGTGTATACTCAAATTTTACTGCAAGGAACATGTAATCATTGACTGCATATAAAGAAGAATCATGCTGGCCTGTGCATATAATTGCTTAATCCTATTTGCTTTGGAAATAAATCCTTGCCATAGGAAGCACCTTGGAGGCTCTGCAGTGTGGCTGTCCCATGGCGTTGGGGTGGCTCCAGGCACCTGTGCCTGTCCTCACCCTCTGCCTTGCACCAGGGATTGTCCCTGCACTTGTCCCCAGCTGAGACAGAGCCTGTGTCACTGTCCTGCCTCTCTGTGTCATTTGTCCCCAGCTGAGACAGAGCCTGTGTCACTGTCCTGCCTCTGTCCTGGCTGAAATGCAGCTGCCGTGGGCAGGCTCCTTTGCCTTGCCCGGGGGCCACGGTGCTCCCCAGGGAGCACAGCCTTTCCTGGGGTGCTCACCTGCTGTTGTTGCACCCCAGGAAGGTGACCCTCCTTGTCATGGGGCTGGACAACGCAGGGAAAACCTCCGTGATCGCGGACATGGAGAGAGGTGAGGAGCAGCACGGGGCAGCCCCGGGGGGCGGCAGCAGCTCTGTGTCCTCCGGAGCCGAAGGAGCGAGGCTGCTGAGCGCCAGCGCTGCCCGGGGAGGCGCGCAGGGCACGGCCGTGCCCCGGGCTGGGGCAGGAGGGGCACGGGGATGCTCCTGGGCCCTGTGCCAGCTCTCTGCGCTCTCGCAGCGCTGGCCGCGGAGGTGCTGCCCGCTGCGCAGCCGGGCCAGAGCCGCCTGCGGGTGGACAGCTTCGAGGTGACGCTGCTGGAGCTGCCCGGGGGACAGCGCTCCCGCAGCGCCTGGCGCGGCCGCTACAGCCAGGCGCACGGGCTGCTCTTCGTCCTGGACTCCGGTGACCTGGCACGGATGGAGGAGGCCCGCAAGCTCCTGAGCCGCGTCCTGAGCCATCCTGACGTCTCCGGAAAGCCGCTCTTGCTGTAAGATTGGGATGCAAGCTGCGAGTTGGGGGTGAGGGGCGGAGTGGGACCCCGCGGCAGGGGGTGTGGGCTGATGAGGGGATGGGGTGCCCCGGGAGCTGTCGGGGGTGCGGGGACATGACCCCAGCAGTGCTTGGGAGATAGGAACATCCGTGGGGAGGAGGTGAGGAGTGGGCTCCGGTGCCAGGTGAGGCTGGGGCAATGCTTCACCCAACCCCAGGCAGCCCTGGACAAAGCACACAGCGTCCCTGTGGCACGGGGGCCGCGCTGGCGGTGACGGCCGCTCCTCCGTGCCCCAGGCTGGCCAACAAGCAAGACGCGGCGGCGGCGCTGCTGCCCGGCGAGCTGATCGAGCGGCTGAGCCTGGAGCGGCTGGTCAACGAGAACCGCTCTCCGTGCCGCATCGTGAGTGCGGGGCCGGCTCCGCTCCCGCTCCCGTTCCCCGCTCCCGCTCCCGTTCCCGCTCCCGCTCCCGTTTCCCGCTCCCGTTCTCCGTTTCCCGCTCCCCCCTCCCCGTTCCCGCTCCCGCTCCCGTTTCCCGCTCCCGTTCTCCGTTTCCCGCTCCCCCCTCCCCGTTCCCGCTCCCGCTCCCGTTTCCCGCTCCCGTTCTCCGTTTCCCGCTCCCCCCTCCCCGTTCCCGCTCCCGCTCCCGTTTCCCGCTCCCGTTCTCCGTTTCCCGCTCCCCCCTCCCCGTTCCCGCTCCCGCTCCCGTTTCCCGCTCCCGTTCTCCGTTTCCCGCTCCCCCCTCCCCGTTCCCGCTCCCGCTCCCGCTCCTGCTCCCGTTCCCCGTTCCCGTTCCCCTCTCCCGTTCCCATTCCCCGCTCCCCTTCCCGCTCCCGTTTCCGTTCCCGTTCCCCATTCCCCGCTCCCGCTCCCGCTCCCGTTCCCGCTCCCGCTCCCGTTTCCCGCTCCCGTTCTCCGTTTCCCGCTCCCCCCTCCCCGTTCCCGCTCCCGCTCCCTGTCCCCACCTCGGCGCGCCCCCCGCGCTGATCCCTCCCTCCGGCCCGCAGGAGCCCTGTGTCGCCCGGCGGGTGCCCCCCGCGGGCCCGGCCCGCAGCACCGTGCAGGGGCTGCGCTGGCTGCTCCGCGCCGCCGCCGCCCCGGCCCCGCCGGACCCCGTCCCGAGGGCCGCCCGCAGGTGGGTGCGGGGCTCCGTCAGCGTGCCCCCGTCCCCTTGCTGCCCCCGCGGCGCTCGTCCTCACCCCCGCTGTGCTCCCTCCCGCAGGGACCGGCCGCCCCCCGGGGGAGATGCTCGGGAGGGCGCGGGGAAGAACGGGGAGCCCCGGGCGCTGCGCCCCGTCTGCCGCCTCCTGCCCCTGGTCAGTGAGTGAGGGGCACCCCGGGACGGGACCGGGTGGAGAGGGGCTCTGCCACCCTCTCCTCATCCCCCTTTCCCTGCCCAGGAGGAGAGCGCCAAGGGCCCCAGGAGGAGGAAGAGGAAGGTGAAGGTGAAGAAGAAGGGCTTGGGGCAGCCAAGCCCAGCCGAGGAGCCGGAGGGGCCGGGAGTAGGGGCTGCAGGGGGGCTGCTGCTCCCCAACAGGGTCGGGCAGGAGGAGCCCGTACCCATCGGGATGGCCACCCCCCTCCCAGGTGAGAGGGGACTGCGGGGGGCTGCCAGCTCTGCAGGACCCCCAGAGCCACCCCACAGGGAGGTGGCCAGGCCTGGCAATGTGACCAAACACTGGAGCACCGGTGCCCGCCACCTCCATCAGCTCTGCTTGCAGATCTGCTGAGTGCAGAGCCAGGTCACAGGAACCCAGAGGGGAAGAGGAGACACATCTGAGCATCTCCACAGGGCACGGTGCACGGCAGCAGTGGAGGACTGCACACGAGCAGTCCTCTCAGCTGGTTTGGTGACAAAGGCACCCTTGCTCTGGTGTGTGGTGCCTGAAATTTTGTATTTCTCCATTCAGCACAGGGTATGAAAAAGAAAAAAAAGAAGAAAATCAAGAATAAAATCAAGTCCCGGGAACCTTCTCTGGAGCAGCAGCGTGAGGAGGTCTCAAGTACCTTTGGTTGGTATTTCTCAGGACAGATTTTGCTGAAAGCATCAGGGGGCCGTGAGCTGTGCAGGGACACTTGGCCATGGGGGCTTAGTGTGGGGACGGGGGCACAGGCAGGTGCTGCTGCAGGGCTGGCTGGGGGCTGCTGTGGATGGAGGCAGGCGCTGCTGCCTCTGCCGTGGGGTGGGATGCAGGGAGGCCACACGAGTGACTGCTGGAGGCTGGGCTGTCCCTGCAGCCCTCACTCAGCACAGGCTGCCAGCTGGGCCCTGGAGCTGGCCCCAGTCAGTGCCTGAGTGCTCCCCTGTCCCCAGATCTGTACCGCCGGGCGATGCTGGCTCTGAAGATGAGGCAGGAGCAGAGGAAGCAGCCATCGGCCATCGCCCCCTGAGCACGGGGCTGCGGTCCCGGAGCAGCCAGGCTGCAGTGGCGGTGGGCCCCTTGCTCCTGCAGAGCTGCCGGTGCTTGGCCAGGGCTGGCAGAGCTGGGAAACGGGTCCTGGGGCATAAACAGCATCTTTGTGCCCTGCGTGGCTGGAAAACCAGGGATCCACAGGGGCGAGCCAAAAGTCCCTTTGTAAGACGCCTCTCTGGCAGCCGGGCTGCAAACCCGAGTGAAAAGGGAACGGGCGGCCCCTTGCCGCCCCCTGTTAGTATTCCGTGGAAGACTCCGTGTAAACCCGGATGAGTCTGTGGAGGAGAGGAAGATCGAGCAAACAGCAGGGGGAAAGCTTGTCTCTTGAATTGACCTGTGCCCGCCGAAAGCTGTCTTCGCAGGTCAGCGCTGACCTGGCCCGGCACTCCCTGCTGCTGCCTGGAACGGCCTCGTTCCCTGCCGGTGAAGGAGGGAGGGCAGCCCCAGGGGGTCTGCAGAGCAGCTCCACATCTGCCAGGGCTGTCAGGACCCGCTTCACACACCGGAGGAAGGTGATGCCCGTGTTTGTGCAGCCCGTCAGTGAACATTTCAGTTCAAAGGCAGCTGGTGGCAGAGGCTCCATCCCCAGGAGCATTCCTCCCGACCCTGCCATCCTTCCAGGAGGGTCACTGTCGCCGGCAGCCTGGGCCCCTCTGCCCCAGGTGGTCCCTGCTGTGAGACGGGAGGAGCAGCAGCACAGCCGTCCGAGCTCAGCCTGTGTCACACCGTGTGTGCCAGGGCAGCAGCACTCCTGTGTCACACTGTGTGCCAGAGCAGCAGCAGCACTGCTGTGTCACACCGTGTGTGCCAGGGCAGCAGCACTCCTGTGTCACACTGTGTGCCAGAGCAGCAGCAGCACTGCTGTGTCACACCGTGTGTGCCAGGGCAGCAGCAGCACTCCTGTGTCACACCGTGTGTGCCAGGGCAGCAGCAGCACTCCTGTGCCACACCGTGTGTGCCAGGGCAGCAGCACACCCATCCCAGCCCATCCTGTGTGTCACACCGTGTGTGCCAGAGCCGTGCCAGCAGGCTCTGGGGGTGCCTGGCTGGCCAAGCTGCCCCCAGCCTGGGAACACTTCAGCTGAAGTCCGGGTGCTTTTCTCGTGTCACCTGCAGAGAGCAGCGCTGGAGCCCAGGGTGTGCGTTAGTCACCTCTGCTCCCGTGTCACTGATTAACTCTGCTCCCTGGCACTGCCTCTGCGGCCCGGGGAAGGCAAATCGGGGGTGCCCTTCCCTTGGCAGGGCTGGAAGGGAAAAGAAGAGGAACTGGCTGCTCTGCCTTGCCAGCCTGCCATAAAGCTCTGTCTAACTCTGCCGTATTCAGCTGCTGGTGACTACAAGGATTATTTGTAAATAAACTGTAAATAGCAGCAGCAGAAGTTCATCCTGCCCTGTAAATACAGCACTTTCTGTAACCCTTGTCTCAGTCTGGTGGAGTTCCCTGGGATGTGGGTGCTGTGGGTACAGGGGAAAGTGGGGGCCAAAATGAGATGGTGGTGAGGGGTACCCTCCCATGAATTTCGGGTTTGTTGGAAAATGCTGGGGCTCCAGAGGTGCTGGAAGCAGGAAGCAGTGCCTCAGCAGCTGCTCTGCAGAGACTTTCTGTCTCTTGTGCATAGCATCAACAGCTTCCTACAGGGACCCAGCTGAGTGACACAGCCCTGCTTTGCATGTCAGCACTTGGATGTTATCTAGCATATCCTTCCCTTGCAGTTTCCAGAGGAGCTGACTCAGGAGTGTCAGGGGAGGCAAAACATTGTGCCTGGTCCCAGCAGCACTGTCGTGGTGCCTCAGCCTGGGCTGTGGCTGCATTGTTGTAAAGTGGTGTGTGAGTTCTGCATTTCTGCAGCTCTTGGTGCTGCTCTCTCCCAGACCCACGTCTGCCAGCAAGGCCAGCAGCAGCTCTCTGCACAGCCTGGGTCCTTCTGAGCCTGAAGGATGGAGAGAGCCAGAGATGGAGGGAGGGAGGGAGGCTGCACCTGGCTGAGCTCTGCCAAAGTTCATGGCTGTTTGTGTGCTGCCAGGAGAAGCTGAAGAGGTGTTTCAGCAAGTGCCTGTGGGAATACACCTCCCACCTCCTCTTACCAAGGTTGCTTTGCACAACTGGATTGTTTTCTGGTGGCTGTTATCACTCTCAGGATTTAAAGGCGTGTGCTGAAGTTGAGTAGTGAGGCTGCTGCTCCCTGTGAAGAGCACTGCTTGGTCAGCGTTCAAACCCTGCCAAGCCCTCCTGTGCACAGACACACCAGTCCTCCCAGGCAGCACAGGGCCTGCAGGAGAGCCTGGAAGATGGGTCCAGCTGAGGCTGTCAGCCCCTCTACTTCCACCACGGCCCTGCTGTGCTTCCTCCAATGTCATTGCATTTCACTTTCTGCACGCTGGCTGGGCTTAGCCAGCAACTTCACTTCATGCCCCTCCCAGCAGAGGATGGGGGGTGATGTTGACTCTGAAATCTCCTCTTGATTTGCCCCACACACATGGGCAGGGCAGGACATTCCCCATGGCTCTGCTGCTCTACATCCACTGCTGTGTTTTCTCAATAAAAACCAAACTGTGTGGGTTTCCCATGTACATTAGAGTTTCTGGGGGAGTGGGAACCATTGTGGATTTCATAATCATTTCCAGGATTCTGATGGAGACACCCTTTGGGAATCAGCCCCAAGCTCCCGGGGTGCTCCACACATCAGGGAGTGTGGGGTGGCAAACCATCAGCAACCAGGCCTGACAAAGGAAAAGAGCTTAGATAAGAGACAGAGGTTTGTGCTGCGTGAAAAACATGGCAGTTCTTTGTTCTTCACTAAGCCAAATTTATAGAAGAAGGAGCCAGCAAGGGGTTTTTGAGAGCATCTCAGATGCTGGAATTTGAACAGTGATTTAGGGCAGTAAAGGGAATTGATTGCAAGTGATCCAGGGTAATGGGTGTTTGGAAAGGCAAATGGAACGGATCACATCCTGTGGGGTGCCTGCAGGTGACTCTCGTTCCCCACCAACCCATCTGTAAACCCCATCAGCTGTCCTGGGGCACATAAACACCAGAGAAAGGGGAGGGGATTCCTGGGCTACAGAGCCTGGGCTTTGGGCTGGGCAGGGGCTTTCACATGGAGCTCTCCCCTCCCTGCTTTGTGAAAAAGGTATAAAAATTAATTAAAGGAAGTCTCTTGGCCCAGCAGAGCAGTGGCTGTGGGGGAAGGTGAGCAGCCCCTGCTCCCTGGCCTTGCTGTGCCGTGGGTCTGACCCGTGCTGCACTGCTGTCTGAAAGCTGCTCGTAGCATGTACAGGCTTAAACAAACACGTGTAAAGAAGGTAAGTGGATTTTAAACCTTGCAATGGGTGTTAGGGTTGATAAAAGCCTGGGGTGGGTGGTTTTTTGTGCTTGAGAAGCCGGTTGCTATGTACACTTTCTCCTGCTTGCAGGTTCTACCCTCTGACTAACTTGGGTGGGCTGGGTGCCAGATACTCTTGTGGAAGTTTCCCAGTTGAAAAAGTGAGTGCTGGGAAGTGGCTCAGCTTTTTTAAGATGAGCCCACCAGGGTCCAGGTGAGTTTCAGAGACCATTCAAAACATTGTAATGCATGTGATTACAGGCAGCTCTCAGTATGTTGAATAATGAGAATCAGCAGCCATGCACAGAGTTTCTTTTGGATGTTTTGATCTCTGTTGTAGAGCCTCTGTTGTGTTACACTTAAAATGAGATCTGGAGTGTTTGCTGTCCTGTGTGCTGAAAAAACAAGGCTGGAATTATTGACAGGAGCTCCCTAAGCTCCTTTTGGTGGTCATGAAGGAAGCCTATTAATGATTTGTAAGGAGGGAGAAGACAAAGGACTGGAAAATGAGAAACTATGAAAACTTTCCCTTTCTAGGTTAAATGAGCCTTGTTGGAGACTTTGTTGCTGGCAGAAGAAAGAAGGATATAATAAAATTTATTTAGTAGCTGTGTTTGTCTTGGGACACGAGGAAATGTGCTGGAGTCTGAGGTGTATAGATATGTCACATCATGTACCAAATATTTTTGCTGGGTTTTCCCCACCGAAAAAGAAAAAGCCTTCTTTTTAGAAAGGGGAATTTTATTAACTAAAATTGGTATTTTCTTTCATAAATTGCTACTCTGTAAGTTGCTGCCCATTTGAACAGGTTATTTCAGACTATAAGGACCAAGTGCCTCTTGAGAAAGACTATCAGTGTATTAATTGGGGCTTCTGCCACAGGATATCTCTGGATGTGGGATCAAGAGCCAATTTATTAACCAAAACTTTTCATTTGGAAGTCAGCTGCAACCATCAGAGCTCAGGCCTCGTCTGTGAGAGAACTTTCACCTTAAACTGCACTTACATGTCAGTGCAGCTGAGTTTAGCAAGAGTGTAGCCCAAATACTGACCTGCTGGCATAACTCTTGCTTGCTACCCAAACTCTCATCTTACTGGAGCTTGCACCCCACCTGCCACGCACAGTGCAGCTGTAGGACAGGTTTGGGGGTGATTGTTCAGGGCTTTTCTATGTTTGTTTGTTTGGGCCAGGCTTGTGTCCATAGATTGCAGGTGCAATTGCTGCAGAGGCTTGCAGCAGCCAGCCCTGAGCTCTGTGCCCTGCTCCAGCAGAGCTGCAGGTGGAGTGATGAACGGACTGAAAATGCACCTGGGGTGGAGGAAAGCGTGTGCAGGTCCCGTTGTGTGATGGACACTGCAGCGTGCTGTCACTGCTGGGCCAGCTCCCTGCGCTGGCTCTGAGCTGCCTCTCCCTTCCTTTCCCCAGGAGAGCTCCCCTGGAAGTCCCTGCTGCAGGTGATGGCATGGCAGGGGAGTCCTAAACCCAGAGCTGCTGTTTTGGGCACAGGTGTGAGGCAGGGTTTGGGAGCTGGTGCCAGGCGGTGTGCCCATCACACATCGCTGGCCAGGCGCTGCTGCCCGGGGAACGGGCTGGGCTGCAGGGGCTGCAGGTTGCTCTGGAGGCAGGGCTGCATGCACACCCCTCTGCAGGCATCCCCGGCCTCCCTCCCTCCCTCGCGGGTGTTTGTGAAAGTGATGCAATCCCTCCCGGGGCACCCAGCACACTCCAGCCTTGCTGGCCGCTCCCACGGATCCTGGTTTTTGGGGCAGATGGGCACCAGGGGAGCATGGAGCTGGCAGCCTGCCCTGCTGAGGGGCAGTGAGCACTGCCAGAGGGGTCAGCAGCTACAGGCCATGGGTAGGACTCCAGCAGATACAGAATTTGGGTGGCTTTGGCTGTTTTCAGACAGTGAGCTCCTGGTCCTGTGCCTGCTGCTCACCCCGTGCTGGCAGGGTAGGTTTGGGAGTCTCAGGTGTGCACAGACAAGAATTTTCTGTTGGAATCTGCTGACAAAAATGCTCTCATTTCTTATAAAACCTATTTCACCAAATCAGTGAAGGATTTGTCCCATTCAGAAGAAGTGAAGGAAACAAATGGGGTCAGCTTTCCTTGGCGTTCCCCTGAGATCCTGGCAGGCTGAGATGTACCTGTGGCTCACAGCAGAGCTCTGCCTCTCTCCAGAGCGCTGGGACGGAGCAGCCCTGAGCATGAACTCACTTCCCCGGCTGGAGACGGCCCTGGAACGGCTGTCAGGGGACAGGGTGGTCTCAGAAACGGGTGGCACTCAGCAGCGAGTGCCTTCTCCAGGCTGCTCCTGCCCGGTGCGAGCAGCAGCAAGTCAATGGGCAGGTCGTGCCCCGGCAGTAAATGAGCTGCCAGCCTACACGCTTGGATTAACGAGACCTATTTCAAGCTGTAGCGACTCTACAGACAAACCTGTAGTACCCGTCCGGAGGTGGGAAGGGCTTGATGAGAATTAATGTCTCTCCATCGACTTCATAGGACATCGGATATTGTAAAAATCCATACGGTATTTGGAAGACGTGGAAAACCGACTGCTTGTTCTACAGCCAGCGCTTTATCCTCCAGCTGGCCGCACGATGGCAGAAGAAGCAAAGAACACTGCAAAATAAATGTTTAAAGAAAACAAGCCCAGAACGCGGCGAGGGTTAGTGCGTGTGCCGGGAGGGGAGCCCGGACCCTCCTGCTGCGGTACCTGCCAGGAGCTGAACGCAGGAACCCCATGGCCGCCAACAGCCAAAACAAGCACAGGAAAACGATTTTGTGAGGGGATTTAAAGGATTTACCCCAGCTGTGAGGTTTAAGGCGCTCCCTTGGGTGTCTCTGTTCGTGCCCTGGTTGCGGTCTGCCGAGCGCTCGGCTGATGTTCTGGGGTTTTTTGTGCTCATTTTTTGCGCTAATTGAAGTGGCGGTGGACTCCAGCCAAGCTGTATGGTACAAAATTCTCCCTGGGAGAGGGAGCTGTCCCTTGTGGTCCCTTGCAGGGGCAGGAGTCCGTGCCAGCTGCGGGCACTGCCCGAGCCCGCAGAGCTCTGCCCGTGCGCGGCTGTTCGAGCAGCCTTCCCTCCTAAACCCCTGAGTGTGAGCTGATAGAACTGCCCCAGAGCAGCAGGGAACCGTGCAGGCTGCTGCAGGCCGGGGAAAAGCCTCGTCAGGGCTGCTTGCTTCCCCGCTGCGGGGCTGAGCTGGGGCTGTGCTGCCCAAGCCGTGTGCCACAGCAGCGGGGCTGGCAGCAGCCTGCCTCTGGCCAGGGGAGCCCTGCCTTGGGCTCCTGGGGGGCAGGAAGGACATGGGGGGATCTGAACGAGCTGGGGCACAGCAGGATGCTGGGGCTCGGCTCCGGATGAGTTTGGGACGGCAGGCACTCACCTGTGGCTCTTCCCAGCTGTGCTTGGATTTATTTCATCCAGGAGCTCTCTGGAAAAGGATTTCCATCCCTGGTGCCAGTGCATTACAGCTAATTAGCTAATGTTTAATTCTGTATCACAGTCCAAGCCTTGCATTTTGCTTCTAATCCCGGCAAATTTAACAAAAATTAAGACATCATAATTTCAAACTAAACTGGGTAGGGGCTGCAATTTGTGTGGCACAGGAGTTGTAAGGACAAGTGCAGCTGCATGGATTCTTCTGCTGCTGAGACCAACTCTCCTGATCAGTTAATTCAGGTGAAAGGTGAGGAGCAACTGCACCTGTAGCAATATATTGAGGAGAGAATAGAGCTGTTTTTTCTGTGGGCCAGGTAAGCCAGATTGCCTTGGCCTTTGGAAACATGCAGGGGTCAAACCCCAAAGGCTGCTGGTTCACTGGGCATGGCTGATCTGCACAGCACCTACCACAGAGCAACAGGAAAAGTGTCTGAGAACAACAGCTCCCTCTTCTAGCCAACACAAACAGGCTAGAAAAACAGCAGGAAAGTACCCAAAAAGCAAGGCAAAAGCTGCAGGGTAGGGTTGGTCAAACTTCAGTGCTCTGCTGCTGTGTGGGGGAGGGAACTCTACAGCCAAACAGGTTAGGCATTGTAGAAAGATGTTTAACAATTGCCATTCATTATTTTAAAGTGGCTGGCATTGTTTTCTGGTTTCCTCTGTTGTGGTGAGGCCTTTGTGTGGAAAGGTGAGTAACAGCCCAGCTGCACAGGGAGCAGTGGGAAGCTGCCCTTGGGATGCACAGGAGTGCAGGCTGTGCCTGGGCAACGCTGCCCTGCTCTGCAGGGATGGAGCCTTCACTCGCCCATCTGCTGCCTGCCTTGGGAGAAGTGGGGGTAAAAAACCCCATAGCTCCTGCCTGCCCAGCACCTGACTTCTATTTTGGTGCTGGGGCAGGCTTGGATGTATCACACAGTGTAAAACTGCCAGACAGTGGGTGCTGGTGCAGAGCAAATGTGACTGGGTTTAGCCTTAGTCAAATCAGTATGATGCTATTTTCATTTTAAAATTCAAAGTGAAAAATCTCTCTCTGGAAGCTGCCAGCTGCTCTCCAGGCCCAGTTGTGGTGCCACAAGGTGAGTTTTGCTCAGTTTCCAGGAAGAGCTGGCTTTTAAACGGGAGCAATGCAAGCTGCTGGAATGGCAGTGGCACCTGGGCACTGGGGTTGAGGAACCTGCCTGCTCCTGTAGGTGCTTGGAGCTGTCAGCAAGGGACAGCACCAGGAAAACTCCCTGCCTGATGCAGAGGGTACTGCTCCAGAAAAGGCTGCTTTATTGCTAGGCAATAATGAGGCTGAAAACATAATAAAAACATGTAGATTTTGTTAGGTTACATCTCGTCTTTTTCAACTTGATGTTGAAAACATAACAAAAACATGTCGATTTTGTTAGGGTCCATGATGTCTTTTTCAATTTGGTGTTGAAAACATAACAAAAACATGTCTTTTTCAACTTGGTGTTGAAAATGTAACAAAAACATGTAGGTTTTGTTAGGTTACATTCTTTCTTTTTCAATTTGGTGTTGAAAACATAACAAAAACGTGTAGCTTTTTTTAGGTCAGATCTCTTCTTTTTCAGTTTTGGTTGTTTACATTAATATTCTCATGCTCTGTGCCTGCTGGACTAGGGAGAAGCTCCCTGGAGGAAGCATTTCAGGTGAGTTTTGCTTCCCCTCTTGCTGTCCCAGCCGGGGGAAGGGGGTGTGTGCTCAGCCTGGCTGCTGCAGGACCAGGGAGGGCTGGGCAGCTCTGGGCTGGGGGGCTGCAAAGCTGCCCTGGGAACAGCCTGGCCTGGCTGAGCCACGCGTGGCAGGAAGAGCTTCTGGTGGGGAAACGTACCCAGAGACTCTGAGCAGCTTCTGTGGCAGTCCTGGCTTGGGAAAGTGCCCCCAGGTGTGTTTGTTGGCTACTTGAGCATGGCTGGGTCTCCGCAGCAGAGGGGCAGGGCTGTGCTTGCAGCCCAGAAAGCCAAACCTGCCCCGCACCAGCAGGTGAGGGAAGGGTTCTGCCCCTCATTCTGCTCCTGAGGTCCCTGCCTGCAGTGCCACGTGCACCTGTGAGCAAGTTCAGAGGAGGCCAGGAAGATGCTCTAAGGGCTGGAGCATCCCTGCTGTGGTGGCAGGCTGGAGAGCTGGGGTGTTCACATTGTGGAAGAGAAGGCTCTGAGGAGCCTTTGGAGTCCCTTCGGTGCCTGAAGTGGATGCAGGATTGCTGGGCAGGCCCTTTTAATGGGGCATGCAGTTATAGGGACAAGGGGAACGGCGCTTTGGGCAGGTCACACAGGGAGCAGCCCTCTAAACTGAAAGGGGGCAGGTTTTGGTGAAATATTAGGAAGCAGTTCTTTCCCCGGGAGCGTTCTGGCACGGGCTGTCCAGAAGAGGAGTGGATGCTCAAGGCCGGGTGGGACAGGGCCCGCAGAAGGTGTCCCTGCCAGGACAGGGGTTGGATGGCGGTGGTCTTCAGGGTCCGTGACACCGCGAGCCGTTCCGTGCCAGGGACGGCAGAGGGGCCCTGCGGCGGGGACACACCCGCACGGGGAGGGGACGGCAGCGGGTCTGGCGGGGCGAGGCTGTCCCCGTGTGTCCCCTGTCCCCGTGGGTCCGACCTGGCTGCCCCCAGTCCCCGTGGGTCTGGCCGGCCTGTCCCTGTCCCCGCGTGTCCCCAGTCCCTGCGGGTCCGGCCGGGCTGTCCCCTGTTCCTGTGTGTCCCCTGTCCCCGCGTGTTCCCAATCCCCGAGTGTCCGGCCGTGCTGTCCCTGTCCCCGCGTGTCCCCAGTCCCCGAGTGTCCAGCCGGGTGT